TTATTAATTTATCAGTTTTTTACTTTTTTTTTTTTTGTTAATTGTGGATAATTTTGAAAAAATTTGTATGATTAGTTGTTAGTGATATTAGAGTTTGTATTAAAAAATATTTAAATAAAATAATTAAAATTTATTTGATGTAAAAGTACGAGATAAATGATTAAAAGTGATAGATAATTGTGAGCAGATTAATAGTGAATTAATAGATGTGATGTGTAAAAACGATTGATTTATATTATTTAATTATATTGATAATGTCGAAGATAGTGAAGTTGAGTTAAAGTTAAGTTAAATTTTGAGTATGAATTAAGTATAAGTATGCATATTTTCAGAACTGGTCTTAAACTTTATAAGGCTATGGACGAAATGTGCTAAATGTTGCTCTTGATTGTTTTTATTTTTTAAGTTAATACAAAAAATGTAACTTGCAATAATAAAAGAAGAGAAGATAAATTTAAAATAAAAATATAGCTAAATCGCTCGTTGAAGACCAACTTTCGCTGCTTTCGAATGAACAAGAAAAGCGTCTAGGCTCCTGTATTTTAAAAATAATATTTGATAAATGTGGTAAGAATCAAAAATGAAAAAAGAGAAAATTCACTTTATTCAAAGAAAAAAATAAGCAATCAAAGCTCTAAACTTCATTTACTTTAGATATATGACTTAAGTTTAGTGACATACGTAATACTCAGTTATAGTTATATAGATTTTTTTTATTGGAATTATTAATTTTTAATTTATATTTAACAAAGTTAAATAAAAAACCAAAATTGAAACTCGTTTGAAAATTAGTTAAATTTGTTGTAATATAGATTGTCAATATGTGAGATAGACAAGATAGACAAAGAGAGAAAGTAGTAAAAGAGAAAAAGAGAGGAGATACGCAGTCAAAACCCTCATCTTATTCATTCACTTGAGCCCTATATATAAGGGAATACAATGTACACGACTAAAGACCTAATGGCTCCTGGCCCATACCTACAAATCCTATATCTAGGTAATGTCCATTAATTAATATTTACAACACTCCCACTTGGACATTACCGCATCATGTCTATGCCTCGTTAAAAACCTCGCTGCAAAATCCTGTAGGAAAAAGCAGTCGAGGAAAAAAGTACATAACATATGCAAATTTATGTGTTACACATGCTGCCTCGTTAAAAACCTCACTAAGTAAAACCCAATGAAAAAAAAATTTAGTCAAGGGAAAAAGAGTACAGCACCGGCCAACAGGGCCTAATTTTCAGGATTATAATTAACCTTCCGGGTTCGATCTTCGAGATTTATTTATCGCTCCCCCTGAAGGGAAAACCTTTTTAGTTACATTCATAATTGTATGTTGCTCCCCCTCAAGGTAAGAGTTTCTAACATAAAATCGTCATTTGTTGCTCTTCGGGAGTTGATATAGATTCAAAATATCATCAAATGTATTTATATAATTTATTTGTGTAACACAAATTAAGTTATCTTCAGGATAAATATGGGGAAATTTCAATAACCAATGGTAAAGAGTTAATACCATTTGAGAGGTATATAACCAATTGAGGACCCATACTTCGGGGATCAATTATACAATTGATGTCCTTATCCACCAATATCATATATCAAGTCCAAAGATAACTTAACATACATGAAGAATAATGAGATATTCTCAATATTTATCACGATATCTCTCTAAGGAGAGATTCAGTAAATCTTGCCAGCAAATTCATTACAAATTCAGTATTAAACCTGATGCAGTTTGCGAGATAAAAGTTTAGCACAATTGCGCTTAATAAATAAACTTCATGTCGTTTGTGGACTTCAAGTCCATTTGGAACTCCAGGTCCTATAATATCCTCATTTGTTTCTTTGGATCTTTGTCAAATTCTAAATATTTGACACTCATTGGTGTTATAATTTTACATCTCTAAAAGAGATTCAAGTAGATTGGTTGGGTCAAAAATATTTCTTCTAGGAGATGCTCAATCTACAAGTCGAGATAATACTCTTTGGTATTTAACCAAAAGTTCTATTCTTACTCCGTCTATAAGCATGAGCTAACTTATTTAATCTTTTACATAGTGTTCACCACATAGTGTATTTGACCGAGATGATCATTTTGTATATTATCATTATACACAAGGTTCTACCTTGAATTTTTCTTACTTTACTTCTTCTGGAAGAATTTAGTTGGTTGTACCACATCTTACCAACAACTTCAAATAAATAAGCTATTTATTATTTAATTATCTTTCATCTCGGGTACTCGAGTCCATCCAGGACTTTCACATATGACTCAATAGTCATGGTAATAATGCTGCCATAAATAACTTACGGAATCATTGATAATGAGAGAACTTATCTAAATGAATATATGGGTCTCTGCATAAACCCATGAGCATAATCTCGCTATATTTACATCATACCACCACATCACATATTTCATATAAATATTCATTATTCTTCTGGGATATGTTATCCTCATGGGATATATCGTGTAGCGAGTGAAAGCTCTGCCTTAATTTTTCTTTCTATCTCAATCAACTTAGCGCTTCTAGTACTTTCATTCTTTTGATCCAGATCATTATTTGAGATAGAAAAGAAATCACATAGGCAAGTATGTTGTCGACAACTGATATTCAATTTATATTTTTCTTTCAACCATATATGCAACTTCATATTTACTAGCCATATTCATAACCATTTCCCATAACATCTAATTTCGGCATTTCCGCATTTCCAGTACTATAATGGTTTGATGCACGTGCAAGATGTACTGGATCAACTCTTCAGGAGTTTCGTATAAAGGAGTGTTCATTCTTGAATATACATTTTCCGCGGACTTTCATACATCATATATTAATTATAAAACCTTATGCTTCTAGCATTAAGGAGTCAGTCATTCCCTAGGAAATTTGCTTACTTTGTGGTACATTTATATATATACAAATTGGTCACTCCATTATTACTATAAATTTCGTTGGCAGAAATGTAGTATGAACTTCAAGTTCAATATTTATTGCGTGGTTTGAAATAATTTATATTTCACATATTTCACGACATTAATAAACTTATGCTCATATCTCCCCCTAATGTCGTGAAATCATCTTCATATATTATGCAAAACACGTACCAAATAATAAACTGATCCCTTATAATGGCCTCTAGGTATTAAAATTTCGACGGAATATAAAAATCATAGCATACCTAGTTTGTAATATAGACCCATAAAGGTACGAATTGGTGGTGACATAAAATTAATAAATTGCAGATGGGAAATTTTCGATTCTCCACGCATTTTATCATAAATAATTGCCCAATATGATCCAACTGCTCATGCTAATTATCAAATATATAGGTTGGGCATCGAAGTATAATAATTTATTTATAAGTGAACACTATATGCTTCAGGCACTACAATTAAACTTTGATTGTGAGCCTTTTATTGTAGCTATCAACTATATTATGTGCTTCGGGCACGACATATAAATTTATTATTGTAGCTATCAACAATACAAGCCAATGATATGCATCGTATCAAATATACAAGCAAACTTAAGTAATTTGAGAAAACTTGTATATTGATTCAATCTTGGTAACATTCTAGTTACATAATTTTATCAGAGTATATTGAATATGCAGAGCTGATCCAAAATCAAAAGATCATGAATTCATCCAAAACTCACTAGATTATTTACTAGATCAATCTTTCAAGGATACTGGCTAGATAATTGTTATGCGATTATTATTCTGGTCAACCAGACCAATCCTTCAAGGATATCCAAATCTAGGTCAATAAGGTATTCAAATTCACTAGTGATACTTTTAATTATATAATCCTTCAGGGAAACTCAAATCTATAAGCATAAAATTCAACAGGATATTGCTCTGCAATTCATGATAGGATTAAGAAAAAAATAACTATACAAGTTGCATACTATTCATTTGATTCATTAGTCAATTAGACTAAAGTTCAAGATATTCAAATTGATTTAGGCTCAATAAATTTAGATCACGTCCATACTCAATGCATAAAATAACGAAACAAAGTATGCAACTATAATTTCCAAACTAAATTCATGTGTAAATACATATTTTGATAGTTTAACCATAATGTTCCAAACAACATAAACAATTCACATTTTAAAATTAATCCACGTATGTTTCATGCGT